CCAGACCTTTTATCTCCTTAATTTATCATGATATAAGGAGGAAACAGGCCACAGCTGGCCATGAAACTGCTTATCAGTCAATTGTCCCATTACTTTTGAGCCTGTGAAAATGGAGGAACTCTGCAAAAAATGGCTGTAATTCCTAAACGGTTAATGCAATATTTTTGTTAAACCCCTTGAATTAAAGCTGAAAGTCTACGCTTCAGTCACATCTTGACTGCTTCATTTCAAATCCACTGTGGTGGTGTACAGAGGCAAAATTACCAAAACTGTGTCACTGTCCCAATATTTATGGACCTGACTGTAGTCGAATTCATTTGTAGATGCAGTTCACACATAATGAAATTAGACTGTTTTCACAGACATTTCATACATTCATTCATTCATTCATTCATTTAACTTCATTAACTGATTTATCATAATCAAGGTCACTGTGGTTCCGGAATCTATCCCGGGAACACTGGGAATGAGGTTCCCTGGATGGGATAATGGTCTATCACAGGGCACCATGCGCAAACACATTCACACCTAGGGGCAATTTTTCCTAGCCAGGCCACCAACTGGCAGGTTTTTGGGAGATGGGAGGAAACCTAGAGGAAACCCACACAAGCATGTTGAGAACATTACAGAGTGATGACTGTAGAGTGCACAGGACCAAATCTGTGTGTGACTTGTACAAGTCTTGTGGAAACTGCGACATTTCGACTGGCCTCAAATATCACCTGACCTCAATCCTACAGAAACTTATGATATTTGGAACAGTAGATGAAACACCACAAACACTAGTTGCACCAAATCAGTGAGAGTGAGCTACCATAGACATCTCTATGAATCTATGAACAGAAATTCAGCAAGCAAGAGGCCCGAAAACCAACCAGACCATATTACCACTCAGGCACAGCTTACTCAGTAATGACTTGGAGATATGGTGCAGGTGAAACACCATGATCTTTAGTAAAAATACAGCCAGTCATTGGAAGAGTCTCAAGACACTGATGAGGTCTTGACCTAACAGGATTGGCACTGTTATTAAGGTGAGGGGATGTGACATATGTGACAAATGTTTTTCCTGGAACTAGACAACTAAAATTATTATACTGTAGGTAAAAACCAATTTGTACTCTTGCTTGTTACTAGGGTGGTACCATCAAGGGTACATCATTTGTTCCTTTTACCTGGGAAGGCACATGCAGTGTAAAGCTGTACTCCACGTCAGTGGTCCTTAAGATCTTATTAAGTACCGTCAAATATTTTAAAGGTATGAAGATTGTACATACTAAAGGTACAGCTGACGTATCCTTAATGGTACCCTAATGACAAGGAAAAGTAAGTTTGGTACCTTCTTTCTATTCTTTAGCTCTGAGAGTGAAAGGCAACAGGTTTAACCATCACCGCCTATTGGAATAATGATGTAATCCCCCTTTCCTGCAGACTCTCCCCGCTCATTCTGGTGGTATCACCTGCTTTGCTGGCTCCTGGCTGCAGTGGGCGCAGTGTGTATCCTCGTGGCTCACGAGCACTACAGTGTGGACGTGGTGGTGGCATACTTCATCACCTCCCGCCTCTTCTACTGGTACCACACCATGGCCAATGTGCAGGTATGCCAACCAGGTCAAACGAAGCTTGATATCAATCCTCACCAACTCACACACACACACACACACACACTTATTCAGAATGTAGAGGTTCTATTGAGAGACATACATTTGAAGTTAATTGTTGATGTTTGTTCTAATAGAGCTCAAGTGCTCTTTAAAGACACAACACACTGTGAGCTAGGATGCAAATGGAAAAACACACACCTCTGTATATGAGGCTCGTTCTGTGTGGTTTCGAAGTGAAGAAAGCGTGATGAATTACAGGACATTAAAATGGCACTGAGCTTCTACTCAAAGTGTTTACATGACTTGGAGAACACTTTTATCCATTAGACAGTACACGGCTTATGAGATACGACTGTCTGATGGCTTCTAAGTGCTCCCTCAGTACGGGATGCCAATACAAATCTTTTAGAGCCAGACAGAAAAGAAACAACATCAAAAACAAGAATGATTGTCATTGTGATACATTATGGTATAGGCTGTAAAAAAGTGAATAGTTAGATATGAGATGTAATTCAAATGGCTTACTATGCACTATACACTATATACAGTACTACACATCATGTAGTTGTGTATGTATTAGTATGTAGTAGCCGAGTAAAAACGTCTCAAATTGGCAAGTCACAGAAATGACAAATGCATGGTGTCTTGTGTCATTGACCCAAAACAACCATAAAATTAAAAAAAACCCAAAATACACTCACTCACTGAGATACTTTTCTGCTCACCATGGTTGTAAAGAGTGGTTATTTGATTTACTGTGGGCTTCCTGTCGACTAGAACCAGTTTGGCCATTCTCCTCTGACCTCTCTCAGACAAACAGACAGACAAACAACTCACACATCATCACAACATCAAGGGAAACATATTCAGAATGTATGGGGTGTGAGATTTTGGTTTTACTATGAAGAAACATTCACATATGCAAGAAACATCAATGTGTGCGGGCTACGTCTTAAGCTAAGAAATAACCGGATAGCTTAAAGTGTGTCTCCATCTTTGAATTGAAATGGAGACAACTTGAAGTAGGATAACATTATGTGCAATTTGCAACCATTAACAAAAAACTCCCAAATTAAATATTAAGCAGTATAGCAAGAGTGAGTCGTCACGTTAGCAGCCAGTAACCTCACGTCAACTGCACTTCCAACAAACCAAAGAAATACAAAACATGATGAATTATAGATTATAAAAATATAGATTTCTCAAGTGTTTCTCCATACTGTCCCTCTCTTCTCTCTTTCTCTTCTCTTTTCATCTCCACCCCTTTGCCTCTTTTCCTCAAACTCTTCCCCTCTGCTTGTTTTCTTTCTCTCTCTCCCACTTTCCATCCCTCCTTCACTTTATGTCTCTTTCCTCATCTTGGCTTCCAGTGTATTTCACTGTGACGCATTAGTGGTAAGATCTTAGTTATCATATCACACACTTGTAGAAACAACAGCTCCAAAAGGGTTCTTTGCAAAGTTCTGGTTTTCTAATTGGGTTCTCCTTGGAAACTTTTCTGAAGCTCTTTTCTACACAAAGTCTTTAAGATGCTAGAACTTTTTGTTCTCCAGTTTTAAATTTGCTGCATGTGCTCTTCCTCCAGGCTCTAAAGTGTTCGCCCAACAACTACCTCACCCACACGTGGTGGAACCCCATCTTCAACTTCCTGGAGCGTAATGTGCAGTCGCAAGTGCCTTGTTCGTTCTGCTGGCCGCTGACGTGGCCTCCAGCCTGCCTGAAGAACCCGTGTAAAAAGTACTCCATGGTGCAGAGCGTTCGCGAGGAGTGACTGTCACATCTTCACCTCCACACTGTTACTTTTCTTTACAAATACTTACAGATCCTTTATTTATGAATACCTGAAATCTTGCATATCAAGAATACCAAAGACTTTGTGAAGGAGTTGTGAGAAATCAATGGCTCAGGTTTAATCATTATTAAAAAGATGAAAAAAACATTAAGCCCTTTTTTTTTTTTTTTTGGAGACCATGCAAAATTCAATAATTTAAAAAACTTTACCTGTTACTGATTGATTTTTTTCCCAAATAAATTAATATGCAACAAATTATATGTAGAATATTCTATGAATAAATGGTATTCACCTTGATTTTTTTTTTTAATTCAATGAAGTCTTCGCAATTGTGCCTTTTTAAGCACGTATTGTTGAATTTTATTACTCAGTTTCAACTGTTTGCTGACTATTTCTTTTTTAATATATGATTTTTTAAACAAAAGATAACATTAAAATTGGACAAATCTGAGAGTGTATTGTATTTGTTGATACAAATAACAACTAATAATAAACCACAATGTCTAAATCACTCCATATTTCATCATATCTGGAACTGAAGAAATCACACAGCTCAACTATGCCAGCAAAATTTGCAATATAATGTTCCAAATATGGTTTATTGAGGTTACTAAACTCATCCTAAACACTGAACACCCAGTTGTTAAAAACTGTGACAAAAGCATAACAAAATCAACTGATGTCCTCTCACTGGAAACAGAAACACATCCTGCATGAAGTCCCCTATAAAATAAAACACATAAGTTATTTGTACCTTTTGGATTAAATGCCCAAGCGGGGCACGGTGGCTTAGTGGTTAGCACTGTTGCCTCCGGAGTTGGGGGTTCGATTCCCGTCTCCGCCCTGTGTGCACGGAGTTTGCATGTTCTCCTCGTGCTTTGGGAATTTCCCCCGGGTACTCTGGTTTCCTCCCCCAGTCCAAAGACATGCGTTGTAGGCTGATTGGCATTTCCAGATTGTCTATAGTGAGTGAATGGGTGTGTGAGTGTGTGTGATTGCGCCTGCAATGTGTTGGCACCCCATCCAAGATGTCCTCCGTCTTGTGCTCCGAGTCACCTGGGATAGGCTCCAGGTTACCCCACGACCCTGTGTAAGATAAGCAGTATGGAAAATGGATGGAAGAATGGATGGATTAAATGCCCTAAAGCTGTTGTTCATTTATTTTGTTAGTGCCCATTTCTAAGCCATTATTTTTCCAATGAAAATATTAATTAAAATAGCATTTTTGTTTGTTGAAACATGTTATTTGGCCTAAAAAATAAAACACATGCACACATACATACATATTATAAATCTCATAGTAATCATGGCTACATTTCATGTCCATAAATGTAATTTCTTATGTAAAATACCATATTTTATTTTATGTATTTACTCATTTATTTATTAATTTTAATGAGATGACACATTAGATTGACACAGTTTGGCCCTCCGTAAAAGAAAAAGCAATTAAAACTATAAATTATAAAGAGCTGTTATTTATTAAAAATTTTATTATTAAACTGTATTCACTGTCTAGCATAAAGATATGCAAGATTGTCTGTACTTTATGAGATAAAACACGCAAACTAATAAAAACAACAACAACAACAATAATAATAATAATAATACATAATTTGCCAAAGCTTTCATCTGTGAAAAGTGATGCCTTATTATCCTGCTCTGTGCTGTAGAAAATTCTTACATGCAAATGATGCACAGCATTACAGCATTTTTGTACACAATCTTAGCTAACACTGCAAATTCAGGTTAAGTCTAGAATTAGCTTAACTTGAAAGCCCTCTTCAACATGGCGGTGCGGCTGACGCGTCAAATCTATGGTGGCATCTGATTGGACGACGGTTACATATAGACCCGCCCATGTTCCGTCCTCTTGAACCTAACTCTGACCAATGAAAAGCAGGAGATTGGACCACATCCCCAGCACACTCACCTTCCAAAACATAAGCGACAATAAAAGCACGAGTGATACAAGCGTGAGCAGGGCACAGCCTGGAGGGAGGATTTAAACAGGTTTCTTTGAAAAGAGAACTGAGATTTAGATGTTTAAGTGAGTTTCCGGAGTGTTGTAATGCGTCGCGGTGTTATTTGAAGGTGTTAGGATTTGTTTATATTAGCTAGCTAACGGTTAACAGTCTTTAGCATCGTCTATCCTGATATCAAATAACGGTAAAGTCGTTATAATATGAAGTGTATACTATTTATAACAGTTTTGCATTGAGACTACATTACTAGGATGCATTAGATAGTGTAGTAGATAGTGTAATAATGTACTTACAGCCTCACCGGAAGTGATGCTTCACTCGCAGTTGGAAGTTTTTTATTAATTCGGTTTTTTTTTCTTTATGTTTTATTATTATTTTTTTTTATCATGGAGGGTGTGTTTAGTAAAATGTGGCATGACGTCGAATTTCCCTCCGTGTCATTTATATTTTTCACTCTTTTCATCATTATTGCTTTCTATCTGCTGAGACACTATCGACTACGTAAACACTTGTTTGTAAACATCCCCCCGGGTCCAAAACCACTTCCGGTTGTAGGGAACTTCGGCAGCTTGTTCGTGCCGCCGTTTATTCTGAAGCTGTTCGCGCGGAAAACTGAAGAGTATGAAGAGAAGAGAGCAAGCCCACTTTCCCCGCAGGTCGGGTTGATGGAGTTGTCGAAGGTTTACGGTAACATGTACAGCCTGTTTGTGGGCAGTCAGCTGGTGGTGGTGCTGAACGGGTACGAGGTGATCAGAGACGCGCTGTCCAACCACGCCGAGGTTTTCTCTGACAGACCTGACATCCCTCTGATCACCATTCTGACCAAGCGGAAAGGTGAGAGCTGCTCATGCATCATTCATTCTGCCATCAAGAGTCAACTCAGCATTGCTTACACTCATTTAAAGGGGAGCAAATGATAAAGGATGCACCAATCCTATCTTATCTTAAAGATCTAACACAATGCCACTGTCTGTATCAGTTGTTCTTCTTCTTCTTTCGGCTAGGGGTCCGGTTAGGGGTTGCCACATCGGATCACTGGTCCGCATAGTAGATTTGGCGCAGTTTTTGCACATAGAGTCTTGACACAACCCTCCCCAGTTTTATCCAGGCTTGTGACCGGTACTGAGAGTGCACTGTGTGCACTGTCAGGATAAAGTGCTTACTGAAGATGAATGAATGAATGAATGAATGAGAATTCTAAAGTAGCTCCAAATTGAGTACATATCCTAGGCTAATGAAATGCTGGTTGAGTCCATTTCTATCAGGATAGAAATGTTTCATTATAGGATAAAGATGTTCAGTTTTTGTCTTACCTAAGAATATTATCCATAGATAATAACAGAGCAGGGTGTACTGAAGCTAAACCTGCAGGAATGGGATGAGCATCTTAGAGCTTCAAGTAGTATAGGTTATAAAACAACATTTCAAAGCAGTATCTAACAAGTTAACGCTTCTGATCCACAGGCATTGTATTTGCACCTTACGGTCCAATCTGGAGAAAACAGCGCAAGTTCTGCCACATGACTCTTCGAAACTTCGGCCTGGGCAAACTGAGCCTGGAGCCCTGCATCCACGAGGGATTCGCTGTGGTCAAGGCTGAGCTGCTGAAGCGAAACCAGGAGGCAGGAGGACAGGGGGTGGACCTGATGCCTTTGATCAGCAGTGCCGTGTCCAATGTGATCTCCTCGATCAGCCTGGGCCAGCGCTTCCACCACCAGGACGAGGAGTTCCGCACGCAGCTGAACCTCATGGCCCACGGTCTGGAGATCAGCATGAACAGCGCCGCCGTGCTCATCAACATCTTCCCCTGGCTCTACTACGTCCCCTGCGGCGTCTTCAAGCAGCTCCGCCGAGTGGAGAGGGACATCACGGCATTCCTGAAGAAGATTATAGCCAGGCACAGGGCCACGCTGGACCCCGAGAACCCCAGAGATTTCATCGATATGTATCTGGTGGAGATGTTGACTCAGCAAAAACCAGGAGGATCAGAGGAGGACGGATTCTCTGAGGATTATCTGTTTTACATAATAGGGGACCTGTTTATTGCAGGGACGGATACGACCACTAATAGCATCCTGTGGATGGTACTGTACATGTGTTTACATCCTGACGTCCAAGGTAAACACACCTTTAAGTGCAAACTTTCTCTAATATGAATTTACCGATAAAATATTGTATGATTCCACTTGCATTTAGAATTTATTTACTACATTTTCCCCTAGAATTTTCTTATATTATATTTCTTATGTTTTGTCTGAGTCTGTGAAAAACACTATATTAAGTAACAATTTTTAGTATTATTATTACCTTATACTATGGATGTGGAAATACTCGCTTCTGATTGGCTAGAAGTATTTTATTTTTTTATGTCTGGACACTTCGACATAGTTTGGGTTAAACATCACAGGTCTAAATAAATACTTTTGATATTACATCACAATGTTGTTCTGTTACCATGACAACAAGCCTTACTGACGATTTGGGTTTAGCTATATTTGTGCAACACCATCACCTTTCCCTTTATAATGCTGAATGAAAAATTAAAAAAAATTTGAATGGCTGCTGCGATGTTACCATAGCAACATTCGTATAACGGTAGCTTTTTGAGATGTCAGTGGTTAGCTAAGGTTAGCCAAATTAATTAACACTGAGTTTGCTATTTTCAGCAAGTACAGTTATGAGTTAGGAAAACGTATACATTTTTAAATTGCTTCATATAGCCATGGTAGAAGTGAGATAAGAGATAAAAAAAAAAGATTGAGACTGGTGGAAGAAACACCACTCTGCTCCATGTTCTCACTTATTTTCAGGTATTGCAACACTTCTTTTGGTGTTATCTCACAGTAGTGTAATGATAATTTATTGTTTCTAATATATATCGTAATAAAGGAAATCAGGCAGGGGCAAATACTTTTTCACAGCACGTGTAGAAAGAAATGCATTGGGTTACATGAAATGTCCTTCCTTTGATGTCTCAGAGAATGTTCAGCGAGAGATCGATGCAGTAGTGGGATGTGGAAGGCTGCCGTCGCTGACTGACAAGGGCACGCTGCCCTACACCAAGGCCACCATCATGGAGGTGCAGAGAATGGCTGTGGTGGTGCCTCTGGCTATTCCTCACATGGCTTCCAAGACTACAGGTTAGGAAGTAAAACCAAACGACTTGTTTCTATAGCTGAAACAAAATCCCGAGTTCTGTAAATCAGTCCTCACATGTGATCCTCGCGTGATCTAAAAAAGCAGACTGTGGTAACAATGGAAGAGAGAATAGAAACTAACACTTGTTTTACTTAAAATATTTTATTCTCCAGAATTCCGAGGGTACACTATTCCTAAGGGGACAGTCATCCTTCCCAACCTCTGGTCGGTCCATAGAGATCCCACTGTGTGGGAGAATCCAGATGACTTCAATCCTTCACGGTTTCTGGACGAACAAGGCCAGCTCCTCAGGAAGGAATATTTTATTCCATTTGGAATAGGTATGGTTTGTGGTTTTATTTTACTTGGAAGATGCCAAATGCTGATTGCTGTCAGCTAAAGCCATAGTCAGGGATGTCAGAAGAGCTTTGTGGTACATGCCAAATACAAAAAGAGCATTCCCTTTTATTTTCCACATTTCTTAATTCCCCTTTAAAAATCATGAGGGTTTGTAACTGGCAATGGATGGATGGATAGATGGATAGATGGATGGATGGATGGATGGATGGATGGACTTTATTGATCCCTGAGGGGAAATTTGGGAATATACTAGGTGAAGAAAAGCAACAAAAACAGCCAAATACCATGTCTGTAGGTGTTTTGTCACCTGTGTAAAGTGAAATGTTATCCTCATGTCTGCAGGTCGGAGAGTGTGCATGGG